TCCAAAAAAAAAAGAGAAGGTCATATATAGATCAGTAGAGAGTGGGGGAGAGATGATAACTGAGTGAGAGGGGAATTGGAGAGAACGAGGGAAAGAAAGAGGATGCAAGAGATGGTGAATGTTGACATATGAGGTGGTGAAATCTGATTTTAGTCTTTTTTTATATATATGAGAAGTAAAAAGATTTCTTATTTCTTATTTCCAATCTAAATAGTCCGTATGCTCTAATAATTTAACAATGTTATCTCACGTCAACATGGCATGTGGACAACAACATGACACGTGCGCAACAACCACATACCAATAATGACAGATTTTGACATTCCCGCCATAAGCATGTCGGCGCTCTCAGAACAAAGGCGCTTAACAATGTCAAATATACGCGCGTTTTAAACTTTGGTGTTGATTGACATGACGCCTCATATTAGATAAGAAGGAGACGGTGTTGATTCGAGATAGAGATGGATTTATTATTATCGAGAGAGAGAGAGAGAGATTAAAGGTATTGCAATCCTAAAATGTTGGATTATTTTGTAATACACAAATGTTTTTGTCATCGTAAATAATTGCTCCTCACCATTGACCAGTCGCAAAACGACATTCAAATAATGACAGGTTTATTATGACATTCCCGCCACATGTCGGCGCTCTCAGAACAGAGGCGACTTAACAATAAATATCGCAGTCTGTTCGAACTTGGGTGTTGATTACAACATTTCTAAGATACAGTCATCAATCCAACTTTCAAATCCCCACCAATCTTTCGTGGTCGGGGGAAGGAGGTGGGGAGGTGGGAGGTGGGGGGGGGGGGGGGGGTAAGAGCATCATCCATTGATATTTGTTTGGTTCCTATCTCGTGAACTTAAATTGACAGTCGTAATGGATAACACTAGGTCTGAACCGTGAAACTACGAGACGTCCGGTAATATGAATACATGTATCTAAAAATGGCACATAATATTAATAGCATAGCAAAATATCGGCCTTTAGACTGATCCCGCACCGTAATGTGCCCCTATAAAGAAATACGGGGTTCTCGAGCGATTTCGGTTAGATCGCAAGTAATGGAAAATTTGGCGGTGCTTTCTACTTTCATTGCGCCTCATTCAGTCAATTTCGTGATTCTTTTTGTAAATATAAAAATGAAAGTTCAGACTTTTTTTTATTTCTAAAGATATAAGTAATGTTCATCAATACGAAAAATAAGGTCCGTTATTTTTTGAGGGAAATTGCCGTCTTATTTTGCTGAAGCTTCACGTCTTTCCTTTTCAATACACTCACGATACAAATTGCGTAAGATCGGTCGATACCTCCATTCATTCCCCCATTGTCTATGATTGTCGTGTGCTAAAGCTCGGCCGATTATCAACCGAGCCATAAATAATAGGCCTAAGCCTTCGTTTTACACGGGTTTTCGACACATTTTGTAACTATATTCTGACCAACATTATGCCATGATCTACACTAAATGCCCTTTCTTTTAAATGTGCAAATCAAATAAAGGACTATTTGGGGAACTTATGCATTTTGAAATGAACATTGTTTTATTCTCGAAAACAAAAATAATATTTACTTTGAATACTTTCGACTTTGTTTCTCATAATTAGAAATATTCATTTGTCGTGTGCCTTACCATATTACAATCTTACCACTATTGCCTAGATATATTTTATGGAATAAAATGACACACAAACCCCATTTATCAGGATAACCATTGAACAGCTAGACTTGTTTTGGTTATCCCTCGTGAGAATTCAATTTATTTGTCTTCGTCTCCATCTGTGTTCTCGTTCAACCTATCCTGTCAATAAAACTTTGTTAATCTTCGTTTCATGATCAGTTCTGTAGATGGCATGTATACATGAAATGATGATGATGATGATGATGATGGCGATGATGATGCTTACAATATTGTAATAGAATAGTAATGATAATAGACATTAATTTCTTCATCTTGCACTCGCTTTTCTTTATTGCCAGAAAACTTTTTTTTATTTTATGTTGCCTTGCTTTTTTTCCCCCTTTAACAATGGTAGCATATTTGCCCAGGAAAATTCTCATATTCGTGGCTATACCTATAACTCAAACCTGCTCTAAAATGGTTACATGCCCTCGTAAAGGTACATAAAGAGTGGTTGTTTGTATTGTCATGTAGCTTGACCTACGTTTGGGCCTACATCCTCTTCTTTCAACACGGTAATCTTCCAGAGTAGTTACACCTTTACATTCGTTTGTTCCTCTTATTGTGGGATCCGGTCCAGGCAGCTGAGATAAGCGTTTCATAATAGAGGAGGTCCATACATGAATGATTCGCTAAACTGATCAAGTTGATAACATGAAAACTGTATTGTCAGAGTTCCGACACTGGTAATTACAGGGGAGAAGAATTACCAAGTCAGGGGTCGGTTATTTAATGGCTGTTTTCACAACCCGCAAAGGCCTTTGTTTTGTTATCTGATCTTGTTTATCGGATCGTTTTTCAAACTTTTATGAATGTTTTCCCCTGATTTGTTTTGCTTTCCTTTAAAGCAAATTTCCACCACAGGGTTGGATTGCCCATTTATTTTAATTAAGTACAATTTATAAATGCCAAGTCTCAGATGTTTCATATTCCATTCAATCTTTCGGGGAAGGGGGGGGGGGGGGTGGAGCATCGTCCATCGATATTTTTGGTTTCCACTGTTCCCACTGAGTAAAATACGTCCTTTGCCTCCACCGTTAAATCTTTTCCCTTGCATTTATTGAACGGGTAGTGTAATTTACTTGACACGCAGTTGATTTGAACGAAAGCAAAATGGCAACAACAACAAAAGAGAGAGAAAGAGATTGATGATAGTTTGACCGAGTTTAAAGAATTTGAAAATACAAACAATTTATTTTATATAAATGTAATCTTTTTCGAGCGGGAAAATACTTGTATTAGAACTCGTTCGTAGCGTCAAAATTCATTTTACCGGGGAAGAAATAAAGGGGCCGCAACTTTTTTATGGGAAAATGGAAACGTAATACCAAGATAATTTTTTCCTTCAATTAGGAGACAACGTGTTTCCGTTGTTATCAACTTCAGAAAATCAGAAGTTGAGAGAACGAATGTTATACCTTGTTTAAAAAGATAAATAAAAATAGCTCTTACTCCTTCTAAAAGTGCTCCGCGCTGTCTATATAAACTGATACTTATTCACATTCCAACACTATGTCGGCAGAAATTTGAAAAGACAAACATGTTATTTTATATAAATGTAATCTTTTTCGAGCGGGAAAATACTTGTATTAGAACTCGTTCGTAGCGTCAAAATTCATTTTACCGGGGAAGAAATAAAGCGGCCGCAACTTTTTTATGGGAAAATGGAAACGTAATACCAAGATAATTTTTTGCTTCAATTAGGAGACAACGTGTTTCCGCTGTTATCAACTTCAGAAAATCAGAAGTTGAGAGAACGAATGTTATACCTTGTTTAAAAAGATAAATAAAAATAGCTCTTACTCCTTCTAAAAGTGCTCCGCGCTGTCTATATAAACTGATACTTATATATATTCCAACACTATGTCGGCAGAAATTTGAAAAGACAAACAAGTTATTTTATATAAATGTAATCTTTTTCGAGCGGGAAAATACTTGTATTAGAACTCGTTCGTAGCGTCAAAATTCATTTTACCGGGGAAGAAATAAAGCGGCCGCAACTTTTTTATGGGAAAATGGAAACGTAATACCAAGATAATTTTTTCCTTCAATTAGGAGACATCGTGTTTCCGCTGTTATCAACTTCAGAAAATCAGAAGTTGAGAGAACGAATGTTATACCTTGTTTAAAAAGATAAATAAAAATAGCTCTTACTCCTTCTAAAAGTGCTCCGCGCTGTCTATATTCCAACACTATGTCGGCAGAAATTTGAACAAACAAGTTATTTTATATAAATGTAATCTTTTTCGAGCGGGAAAATACTTGTATTAGAACTCGTTCGTAGCGTCAAAATTCATTTTACCGGGGAAGAAATAAAGCGGCCGCAATTTTTTTATGGGAAAATGGAAACGTAATACCAAGATAATTTTTTCCTTCAATTAGGAGACAACGTGTTTCCGTTGTTATCAATTTCAGAAAATCAGAAGTTGAGAGAACGAATGTTATACCTTGTTTAAAAAGATAAATAAAAATAGCTCTTACTACTTCTAAAAGTGCTCCGCGCTGTCTATATAAATATGATACTTATTCATATTCCAACACTATGTCGGCAGAAATTCGAAAACACAAACAATTTATTTTATATAAATGCAATCTTTTTTCGAGCAGGAAAATACTTGTATTAAAACAAGCTCGTAGCGTCAAAATTCATTTTAACGGTTAAGAAATAAAGCGATCGTAACTTTTTTTTATTGGAAAATGGAAACGTAATTCCAAGATATTTTTTCCCTTCAATTAGGAGACAACGTATTTCCGCTGTTATCAACTTCAGAAAATCAGAAGTGAGAGAACGAATGTTATAGCCTGTTGTGCGCCGCGCTGTAGTCACTTTGGCAGGCATTTGAAATCACGCAATTCTGATTAATCGCCAGCGTCTCGGGCATGCTTTTTAATCGCCCAATTCTCAAAAAGTCGATGCGATTTGCGCCTTTTGTCTAGAGAACAAAGGCGCATTCCAGAATGCATTCCAGAATGTGCGCATTCTGGAATGCCCCTTTGTTCTCTAGACAATAGGCGCAGGTCGCATCGATTTTTTGAGAATGTGGCTAGAATGGGGTCATTCCAGATACATTCCAGAAAGATTAACAAGGACATTCCGAATGCATTCCGAATGCCAGTTGAATAAATCCGTGGCGCCTAATGTAGATTGTAAAGCAGAGTATGTAAAGCATATACATGTACATAGCTACTCGTACTAACAGGGGTGGCTCAAGAGTTTTGTAAAAAGGGAGGGAGGTCCCATTCACAAAAGTCAACAAGCAAGCAACAACAGTTCAATCGGGTTTGTAATTCTATTATTTGAGAAAGATATTCAACTCACCTTCCTTCTAGTAAGTCTTTCTTGAGTTGGAGCACGTACTGGTAGCGAGTGTATTCCTCGAGTAATTTGCTGGGGTCCGTTACAAAGAACTTGACTTGGAAATTGAAATACAGAGTACCTGGGGAAAACGAAAGATAGGACACATAATTATGAACCTTATGTCTATTTAAATCCATAACTCAAACCAACAATTTCAGATCAGATCAGATCATTCACAGGGCTCATCACATACAGAGATCAAGTGCACATAGGCCCCTCCCCCCCCAAAAAAAAAAACAGACCCTAAAAATTTCAAAGTAGACCCCATTGCAAAAAAGTGAGTGTAGAGTCTGGTGCTTACACGTCCCAGGGAAAAAAATAATATTTATTTTTCGGGGGCTACTTTTCAAGCTTGCCTGCATGAAAATAACACTCTAAAAAAAAGTTTGCACTGAACTCTATGCAAATTTACAGGGGCTCTTTTCTGATTTTTGGGGGCTCTTTGGGGCATTTCGGGGGCAAATTCGCCCTGAGCCCCCGTGTATTTTTTTCACTGACACGTCCTTTAAAGAGTTGCGATTGATCCAAATCAATCATATGTCCTCTAATCAATCAGAAGTACATGTACATAGTTGCGATTGATATCTATCGCAAAAAGTTGTGATTAATATCAACTCTTTATAAGACGGGGCCCAGGGCACCACAATAAACAGGGGTGCACAAAAGCCCCCAAAGACCCCCAATTTCCACCCCATACCCCTAATCCCAAATGAAATCTACAAACAGTAAAGGCCTAATGCACAGAGACCCTGACATTTGCAATCCATGGCCCCTTTGCAGGGTCCAGGTTAGTGTGGATCCCTGGGATGTTTTTATTATTGTGCATTTTCAGAGTATATTGCCATGGGAATTTCAAGACATTTACAGGGCTACTAGCTTGATGACCGATGCGGCTGATATTCATTTGACATCGTTAGGGGGCACTCAAGCCCCCTTCCCTGTCTTTCCGTCTCTATCAACCTGTCACAAATCCTGTGGCATTTCGGAGCAGCCCGTGTAAACGTATGGACCTGACTGGAACATTGCCAGGGAATCCCCGTTTTAAACGATGACTACCAATTTTCCTATCTCCACTTTATAAGGACTGTTCATACCAGAGGAATTTTATAAAATAAAATTTGTAAAAAGAAACGTCATATCTCCAAGTACCATTGCATAGCAAAAAGACATACCGGTACATATTTGAAAAAAAAGTATAACACAAAGAACATTGTACAAAGAAAATAGATTTACAGAGTGGCAAATTATGTTTAGTGTTTTGCTAGTTTTCGTTTATGTTGCATGTACAGTGTACATATACTGTGTTGCTCGAAAATGCAAATGATAGATGGTCAGTCATATATCAGTGCACGCTCATGGTAAGTCCTGCCCAGTTATACGTTTTTTCACATTACGGTATTCACAACAAGAAGTGGAACCTCTTTATATAGTTTTGATCATTTGAAATAATACTCCAACCTCCCTTTTACTATATAAATCCTTATGCAATATTTTCATAATAAAGTGAAACTTGTCTATAAAGACCTCTGAAGGGAGACAAGGAAAGTGGTCTTTACTGACAGGTGGTTTTTATGTACAGGTTCCTATTAAAGTTCATGTTTTAATGATAAACCATTTTCAAGGGACACAACAAAAATGTGGTCTTTGTAGACAGGTGATCACTAAACCAGGTTTGACTGTACAACACTCAGACTACAAATATGTACTCAACGCATAGGCCTACCTACATGTATATGTTCCTGTTGAATTATTTGAATGGTCTGAACGGGGCGATGGGGGGGGGGGTCTTTTTCAATATTAAACAGCTCGTCGGGAACAGTGATCCTGTTCTGTTACCTATCACCATCAATCGTTCTTGACTTTGCGATTTGGGGGGTTCATGGGGCAATTAACTCGTAAAGAGGTGTTTGAAAGGATTAATAGAAAGTTGCCCCAAATTTCTGGATGACTAAAATTGACCTTGTAGCATGCAGAGAGGAGATGAAAAGGGGCAATTTCATTGGAAGCTCAATATGCCGTTGTAGCGATGTATGAATAATAGAACTTTATTGAGGAATAGTTTATGCTGTATTACTGGTATAAAATAAAGCTATCAAGTCCAACATTTTTTGGTGTGACAACCTGTTGAATAGAATTTTTTTTTTTTTTAAATGGTTTACTGGTAACTCTTTTTGTTTGATGGGTCTTTTTTTCAAGAGTTTAATGGAAAAAACTAAAAATTACACAAGAGACAGTAAACACAAGATAAAGTATGGCCAACGCAACAATGACATTCTCACTATTTTCATGTTTTTTTTCTATCCAACTGTCATTTAGCTTATCTATGAATTTCAAGAAAAAGTACACATGTCTTGCATAATTAGAATGTCATTACTTTTTTTCTTTTTTTTTTAAACTCACGATTGTCATGAAATGAATGAAGTTTGATATGTTCTAAATTGAAAAGCTGACTGAATGAAAATAGCAATAGGCTAAATTGAATTAAAAAAACTTCTTTACCCATGAAAGGCCATGATTAAAATTCTAGGAAAGTTATGAAACAGAAAAGGCAGGCACAGATAATGTACTGCACAAACCGAAACCTCAAACGAAAATCTCTTGACTTTTGCCTTAGTTCATGACGACGCCTGAAATCACACACTGAGGAAGGAAAGAGTGGGATTTCCACCCCAAATATCTAGGCCAACGGGGAGCTCCTCTTACAAACATTGAAAATGAAACAATCAATCAATTGGTCACACAAGTGATTTGATTTTTCCTTCTTTATACTACAGGCCCGTTGCTGTGTAATAATAATAATAACAATAATAATAAAACAGTGCACATAAAGCGCTTTCCACCAAAGTCTCTAAGCGCCATAACAACCAAAATACAATGACAAACAATTATATATTAAACAAATAAATTACAAAAAACCTACAAATACATATGAAATATACATCAATGCTAACAGAGTAAGTTAATCATCAAGAGCAATTTGGGTAGAACTTTGCTAAGCAATAAAGAATAAAAATGACATCACCTGTTGCTAGGCAACTACCGGTAAACATAATGAAAAAACAAAATTGGAAAATCCACCTCTGGAATTTTTTTTTTTAATGCCGACATAAATTTTACAGATTATGCAGAATAAATGCCAACTCTCGCAACTTCGGTGAATGATTCTGTTTTTTGGTCACATGACTCTCCTCGCTTCTGTACGATCGCATGCAGAGTAGCGAGAAGTCAAAAAATCTGAATGAGCAAACACTGACAGTTTTTTATGGTTTTTTGGGGCAGTCCAAAAAGTCAATGATTATTCAAAATTAAGGCTGTGCACAACAGTGTAATGAGGTACCAGAGTACACTCCCAGGCTTACAAGCGAATAGTCGAATATTCGGAGGCCATGTTTTTTTTTGTAATTTAAAAAAAAAAATTGTTGTTGATTTTTTTTTTGCCACCACCATACCACTGAAGCAGTATCCCAGGTCCGTTGCTGAATGGGTGCCGATTTATTAATAATAATAACAGTAAACAATGCTGTTTTAAAAACCAAAGATGGCAAAATAATCCATTTTCCTCCGAGTCCAAACAGAAATCCGGACATTTGGTCCCAGTTTCTGAGTGGTGAGTTTGACAGTGCTTGAGTTGGGAAACATTTTTACCGACTGTACCATGCCAGCGGCCGCCGCTCTCCCTGGCACGGGTAAGCGTCGGCCTGGACAGTGCCTGGTGACAGGGATTTTTTTTTTCTTTTTTTTCTTCTTTTTTTGCGGCTGAATATTCGAGTACAAGAAATCATACTCGAGTAGTTGTCAACAGCGCAGGTACTCAAGCATTCGACTACTCGTCGCAGCCCTATTCAAAATGGTGTTTGGGCCGTGTAAATGGGCCTCATGTCTTAATAATCAACAGCTCCCATATTGGATGATGGAATGAGCACCTGAGCTACATGTATGGGAAGGTAAGCCTACATTGTACATTGTAGGAGAAACAGAGGGGAGAGCTACGCTGCAATCAATTTCTACGATAATAATCAAATTTGAGGTATAGATTTCTCTTTATTACACCCAGCCATCTGATCGGACAAGCTGCGGCTTTGGCAGTATTCCTAGCATTTCCACATTCAGTTCAAGAAGAAGTGAAAGCAAGGCTAGCCTCGATCTGAAAGTAGGGCAGGTCCCATCTTAAAGGGGAAGTCCACCCTGATACTAACTTGGTTTTAATAGAAGCCGAAATAAATGAGATGAAGGTCAGTGAAAGTTTGAGCAAAAACCGATTAAAAATAAGAAATGTATAACTTTTTGAAGTTGCGATCAATCAAACACGAATTGGCAACTCTGTGATGTATCTTGCTAGCTCCTCTCCAATTCGTTCTGTACAAATTTCAAATACTTTTATATAATTTCAATTGGTTATTGATGAGGGAATAGATTTTCCATACAGGGGTTTTATAGAAACATATTTGCAATATTTAGATTTAGGATGCACAATATGACTGAAAATTTTCTTGATAAAACTTTTTTTTTTTTTTTTTTTTTTTTTTGGTACAGAGCAAATGGGAGGAGAGCTTGGAAGATACTTCACAGAGTCGCCAATTTGTATTTGATTGATCACAACTTTAAAAATCCATAACTTTTTTATTCCTAACCTGGATTTTCTCAAACTTTCACTGACCTGTTCCTCTCATTTTTCTGCTTCTATTGAAACCAACTTAATATCAGGATGGACTTCTCCTTTAAGATTCCCTCCTTATATGTTGTTGATAACTTAGTCGCCGAAGCAACTTTGAAGCAGTCTAGTGCGTCATGTGTGAACGGAGAGTTGACATACCTTTCCAAGTCATCCCCTTGTATTTCTTGTGAATGAGATAACTTGCTGCACGGTAACCACCCCGTTTAGCCTCTATTGCTCTCCGCCATTAAATAAAGTGTATGTCAACTAATAGGTCTCCATTTAAATAGACTCATGACTAGAGCTGAGAGCCTTTTAAGAAATCAGTCTTTGCAAATTTGTAAAGGTATTTTGAAGGCATGAACCCTCGTCGGTCGACTACACCTACATGTAGGCTCCCGGCATACTGCACACACTGAACAGGCTCTGTACTTCAGATACTCCGGACATAGCCGAGACCGACTGAGCTAGGCTCTGCTCAAGGCTCTAGGAATTGTGGTAAAGTGACAAATTACAGTCTGTGCCTGCAGACTACCATAGAGACATGAGAGCGCCCCTCTATGTGTTCAGAGATTGTGGCGTGGATCCAACATTAAGTTCACATGGTATCGTTAGTAAGGTTACAAAACGACTCATTATCAGGCACAACGTCTCCTGAAAATCTGGGACGAATATATTGAATTGATGTAATACATCCTGGGGAGCATCTTTAATTGTATACAAAAATAACTGTCAAGCTTCCGGAGGCTCACTTGCAGTCTAGCATAGGTGAAAGACTTTTTTCCAAATTTCAAACAAGTGAAATCTAATATATGTAAATGTATTGAATCATCTATCTAGAGTGTACATGTACATGATGTGTTCCCATTTTGTAGAATAAAAAATAAAAAGTAAAATAACAGTAAAAATGTAAACTAATATGAAAATAACAATACATAATAGTAAAATGATAATAAACAAATCAAAAATATTAATAATAGCAAAACAAAGAATTCTTCAAAATTTCTCCTCCCCCAAAATAGCTCAGAACTCATCTCTTCTGTTAACAACATAATTGTAAAAGAGCACCGGAACATGTTTATGAAAAATGCGCTTCTTATTATTAATATTATTCAAAAAATTGTAAATGAGATCTAAACTTACCTTTGACTTGTTTTCGAATAGATTTCCTTGGGTCTAGCCATCTCTTGTTATTACTGTCGATTGTGTTCTCCGTTTCTGAGTAGCGTAGACCAAAGTAGTCACACTCTAACAGCTCAAGATGCTCAAAGACTCTGTCCAAAAGCTCCTGTCCTTTTGCTCGTCTCTGTAATGACAAAGAATTGGAAATTAATCATTTGTTCTCTGATTTTCTCAACCTTAATAGCTCTTTAAGGAACATAGAGCGAAGTAGTCATATTCTTTTAAACGCCTCAAGATGCTTAAAGACTCTGTACAAAAAGTCCTGTCCTTTCGCTCGTCTCTGCAATGATAGCCCGGCAGGAAAAAATACATGGGGGCTCAGGGCAAATTTGCCCCCAAAAGCCCAAAAGAGCCCCAGAAAGTCATAAAAGAGCCCCCAAAAATTGCATTGAGTTCAATGCAAAACAAACTAAAGAGTGTTATTTTCATGCAAGCAAGTTTGAAAAGTAGCCCCTGAAATTTTTGAAGTATTTTTTTTCTGCGATGATAAGGAATTGAAAATAAACAATGAAATTGTGATTGTTTGCTTTATTCTCTCTCATATTGGTTCGATGGTATTTGCCATTTGAGTACAAAAACCAAAGTTGTCACCTCGTTGTCAAGTTGCATTAAACAGTTTAAGATGCTCAAAGACTCTGCGCAAAAGCTCCTGACCTTTCGCATAAAGCCCCACTGTAGGCCTACTAATTCTAGCTACTTGCGCCCTCTATATAGCAAACAATGCCTAATCGGTGCCTGTTGGTCCCCCATGATCCCCTTTTCCTTATGTTAATTGAGAGCTGATTTGATAAGATAACCACCTGTCAGTGACCTTGAAGGGAGGTGTAATCCCCCCCCCCCCCTGGCCAAACTAGTGCACACAGGCTTTAAAGGAAATTCGAAAATAGGAAATGAGAACTACTGGAATAATGAAATTGTTATCATTTGTTTAATTTTCCCCTATATTTGCCCATTAGATGGGGTAAAACAACAACAGTAGTATAGTGTGAGTGCTTGATATTACATCTCCTACGTGTTTCTTTCTACATCTGACTTTTGCAATAAGCCAGTTAGAGAAATTTCCTAGAAAAAGGCTCTGTCTCATACCGAAACTTCATCACAACCCAGAGTGCACGAGCACTTGTTCCCCAGGCTCATTTTGCGCTCGCTCGTGGAAGCCAATCAACTGCTCCCGGAGCAATCAACGTCATCAAGTTCTCCGTTATGACACATTGTTGACATTCTCCCCTTCCGTGGAAAGGTCTGGGAAAGTCATTTCCCTCTCAAGTTCAAATGTCTGGGGAATACATTCATTCTGCCATAGTTTGCAACTAGTTACGCAGGAGAGAGAGAGGGGGATAAATTGAATGCACGTTAGGTTGCGTTCATAAGTCAGATGAATGCACCCTTACTTCCCACTTCATGCACAAGGAGATATATTAAGGTGCATTCATAACAGTTTTTGAGCACATCCTATGCAGGAGGAGATACCTTGAATGCATGTTAGGGTGCATTCATAAGTTTTATGAATGCACCCTAAATTCAAACTACATGCAGGAGGAGAAACATTGAATGCATGTTAGGGTGCATTCATAAGTTTTGAACTCTAACCTACAACTATGCAGGAGAGCATAAATTGAATGCATATTTAAAAGTACATTCATAAAACTTTTAAAGCCAGAATCAGGAATATGAAACACTGATCAATTATTCAGCAATATGAAACACAATATCATGGTGCTATATATGTTCACACACACAAAAAAAAAGTTGAAGCAGAAGCAATCTCTATATTCATCAATTATGATTGTCACTAGTGCAGATACTCTCAATGTATGCCGTGTACCTTTAGATTATATAAACACATTGCCACTACAGAGTTCATAAATTCAGAATTTCATTGATTCTTTTTTTCAAAATCAGATTACTGAAATGTCAATTGAATTCTCCTTTTTTTTTAACAAAGAGCTCTACAGAAGCTTGCCAAAATATCCAGCTGCACTATATATGTCCATTAAAATACAGAAATAAAATGATCGCTTCTGCTACTAGGCAACTAGGCAACTACAGATTTCATTAAAAATTTGAACTGGTTGGTCATTATAGCCTCAAAATATACATGCATGTGGTTGCAATTTGTAAAAGGTACTGATTAACTACAACATTTTAGCGCTTTTTGATATCAATATCAAAGATAAATATATGATATTAAGGTTTGCATATTAATGCAATTGTAAGTTGTTTTAAAGAATGATACGAAGGGCCACATATTATTAATTATGGTGAAATATTTTATTAACATAACAAAATTAAATAAAACGATTTGATAAAAATAATTCCAGCCATACAATTATACATCAGGAGTTTAAAACTAACAGGCACCCAAAGTCTTTGGGCCAAAGACCAGTATTGGAAACGCCCCAATTTCAAAAAATGAAATGGAAGCTCTCATTACCAATCATGTGAAAGAATATGTTTTGACTAATACATGATGATAAAAAATTTGACGGGAAACCGCCCACTAATTCATATATTTGGTAAATTTGTTTCTCTCATGGTCTGTGAGAGATATAGGGTAGTCTCATATACATCTTTCTGTGTATAGTGCTTGTAACTTTACGAAGAATGGGCCAAATTTCTTATCATTTTGATGATTCCAGAACCTTGCAGATGCTAGATGCTAGATGATCAACTTTTTCTGATCGATTCCACAACGTTTCTTTCACAATGCAATCGCATGACCATAACTGGTCTTTACCTTTAACTTTCAAGAAAGAACCCACGAATACAGACCCTATGGTAAATGTCAATCTAGGCTAGGCCCCTGTAAAGAGAAAAAAGTTAGCACCGGAGCCCTGTTAACCTGAACAGCCATGGAAAGGCCTCTATGCAGAATCAGTTATCAAAAATGAATCACCGATACTGTCATACAGATCTATTTTCGAGCTCTTTTTTTTGTTGTCAGATTTGATGACTTTGTACAGAGTCCAGGACGACAGCCTGCAAATAGGCTGGGGCACTAAAATACAGACATGTCTGGCTAGCGGAAGTCAGAACACATGACAGGATGACAGCTCATCTCTTTTGAAAAAGGATGGTTTGAAAATTTGACACAGGTATACAATGTACATACTAGTCTTTAAAGGGGAGGTCCATCCTGATAGTGAGTTGGTTAAGTTAGTTTAAAATTAGCAAAATTCTGCCAGGCAGCCAAAAAGTCTTGTCTGTGTTAATGACCTAGTGACAATTTTTTGTTGTTTAATTGCACTGTTGTGAATTTTGTGCAGTCCACTTTAAAAAGGAACAATTAAAAGTTGAATTTGGAGAAAACAATCATACTTTTTTGGTTATTCAGCTGGTAACTTGAATAAAAAAAATAGCTGGGAGAGCCCTTTTTCATGTATACAACAAAAGACCGAAACTATTAAGGAAAGAGAGAAAACCAACAGCAAAAGTTCTTATTCAAATGTATCCTGCAAATCATAAGATTTTAGAGGATTACATGTACAGGTATTATGCCCATTTCTGTCAACGTGTGTTTGAACAAATGCAGGAAAGGAAAACGGGAGAACAATTTATTTTGTTAATAATTTACAACAATGGTGTCGCTGCTTTTAAAAGGATTTTGGACACCTTTAATCCAAGAGCATCCTGGAAGCATAAGGGATCTACAAGCATGTGCATCCGCCAAGAGCAAGAAGGGCATTAACTACACATTTAAGATAGAGTTAGAACCCTGCTGGCTCTCAACAGGCAGTTGGTAACAGTTTACTGCTATGTCAATGGTTAAAAATAGCAAGTAAGAGGTGATAGTTAACAAAATCCCATCAAAGACAGGTGCTCAACTACAAGTAACATATAAGCCCCCTGCTGCTAGGAGCTGAAAAGATTTCACGCAAAGAGCAAAGCCAAGTACAGCAAACACCACTGCCGTCATGGATAGTAACAATCTCCTTTATGGCTTGACAAATAGTAGCTGTCACAGGGAGCTCGCTACCCTCGCTTTCCCAGAAGGTTTATTATTATGGCATGCAAGAAACGGGCCGGGGTAATCTGGTGCTCCTAGGCTCTGCTAATTAGCACCCGGTTCGAGTGCGCCGTTGTTAGGCTTCCCTATAGGCGCGTCTTCATCATCTAGAGATTGCCAAATAGCCCGCCATTTCTGATTAGGGAAATAATCCTGAAGTTACAAATCGCGTCTTCATTAGCTTGAGACTCGACCTCGAAACTTGAAACTCGACCTTGAGAAATTAGCTTGAGATATTTTGCTCAGCGTTAGCGCATAATGCGAGTCTTCGGTCTAGTGAAGACGCACAGGTCAAATAGCTGGATATTTTGCCAAATAGTGGGATATTTTGCAAACTATGGCAAGATATCTTGGGATGACTATCCCGACCAAATATCCTTCTAATTGCTACTTCGGTCTGATGAAAACGCAAATTAGCTGGATAGTTTGCGATCAGGATAGTTCAAATAGCTGGATATTTGGCAATCTCGAGATAGTGAAGTCAGGCCTTATGTGAAATTGATTGAATAGCATTGTAGCGAGGTACATGCAAGATCGCTGGAGTCGCTGCCTAATGGGCAATTTGTCAGCCGATTATTCACACATGTAGACCTACAATGTTAGTGTAGTCCCATGTATGTTCATCAGGGTCGCAATAATTGTTTGCTATTATAATGTCAAAGTAGTCCCAGACTCACGAGACTCACAATGCAGTAGAGTATATTTGTGTAGTAGCTGTGCTAAATAAATTGATCTACCGGTAATTATTATTATTATCATCATCAGTATACATGTACATATTATGTAATGTTTAGGGCTCTGTATTAAAAAGGATGTGGCAAAATGCACATCAGCATAATTTTTTCTAAAAATGAAATTTGAAACAAGGCAAAATTAATTTTGTTCATAAATATCTTCTTGGATTTGCCAACAATTTTTTTTTTGGAGGGGGGGGGGGTTGATTTTAATTTGTCTATGTTTTTCTTACACTCATTTCTATCTGTTTCAATCTTTTCATACTACGAAAATAAGCATGAAATATTTTTGTATCACTAAAATCCTCAAATCGTAATCTCTTAGAATTTAACGTCCTTTCTCAATCAACACTTAATTAATTTCCAATATCCCAAAATAAGAGG